CAAAGGCAATCTGCAGGTAATCAATGTAGCAGCCCAATCTGAAAAGATTGAAGAGGTTAATCGTGGGCACCACATTTGCTTTAAATGTTTATCATTCTCATCTCCTTTTAGACACCATCCTTTATGCCTCGCGTAATAGGTCTCATGCTTCAATTATCACAGCCACACCCAAGTGAGCTGACAGCTACAGAGAGGCAAGAGTGTGTCACGCGACAGTTATTTGTCACTGCGAATTCATTTTCACATTTGCCTAATAATTGATCTTCTCGTTGACTTTGAATAAGTGCTCGATCATGCTCCCTCTGCAGACGACATTGTGGAGACTCAGCAAAGTTGCACAGTGCGGCTATTTCCTATGTCAACCACATTTCTCGTTGAAGGAGTGTTGTATAAGATCCACATTATGCTTTCAGTATTCAACTGTGTATGCGATGTGTATGAGCATTCAGCTGCACCGCAACGGTCCCACCTTAACACTTCTGAATGTTGTTTTCATGGCACAGGTTCAGTGATGCTTTTAGCACTACACATCATCGAAAAGCCAGGTTAGTAAATAAAAAGGGATTCCCTTTATCCAAAGTAAAGTGGATAGAAGTCATCAGGGCTGCCTATTATGCAGCGGTTAACTGCAACTAGCAATCGCATCCACTGTAGTCATAGCTAAGATTTCGAGCATAATTCTGGCGGAAACGGTGCGTTTTTTAAATAGGTAGACTTAGCGTTAATGTAAGGGATCATAAGCCAACTCTAATCAGTGGATGGCAGGACTAATGATGTCACTCACAACGTTACTATCTTTAAGGTGCTTAACCTACACCACCTGACCACATCAAATATGACTGACAGCTCTAGTAAGTAGGAATTGGTCTACTGTTAGCGGTCGTGCATAAAATTTGTGGAGTGACAGCTTGCGTGTAAAAATTCATTTCGCATGTCCAGTTTAGTGGCTTCCTCTACCTTTTGGATCAAGTGCCCGATGACTTCACAATAAGCGTTTCTGCTGATGGATCGTTGGTTCGTGAGTGCTACTACCAACAACACTGACAGGTTGGTGGCGACGCTACAAACGAATTTCAGAAGGGGAGATGGGTCTAGTAATATGTTGTTTTTTCAACTTTTGGTTTTGGTAACGACGTACTTTGGGGCTCTCCCATTGTTCCTTCACTGGGTGACCTGGGCTTTGGTCATGCCAGTAGTCCCAACCCTCATTACACCTCAGCAATAGATATTCAGCCCACGCATTACAACTTTCAACATCTACGGTAGCTCGCTCGACACTGCATATAATCCAACTGTCAAGACGTGGCAACATGAAAGTAGCAAAACAGGCTTATGCAGTAAAAGCGAACAAAATTGGTGGAATTCTCATTGTCAGAATGATAATCCAAAGAGAATATGCTAAAGAATAGGTGAGTTTGGCAATAGAGCGACAGATACAGCTTCAACTTTTGTGTATCTACAAAGTTGGCTATCAGTGGTTGCA